AGGGCGAGGGGGTGACCCTGCAGCGCTCCATCACGTTGCTTAACGGCGTGGCCATCATCGTGGGCACCATCATCGGATCCGGCATCTTCGTCACCCCTACCGGCGTGCTGCGGGAGGCCGGCTCGCCGGGGTTGTCGCTGGTGGTGTGGGCCGTCTGCGGGGCCTTCTCCATCGTGGGTGCCCTCTGCTACGCTGAGCTGGGTACCACCATCACCAAGTCCGGCGGGGACTATGCCTACATGCTGGAGGTGTACGGCTCCCTGCCCGCCTTCCTCAAGCTCTGGATAGAGCTGCTCATCATCCGGCCTTCCTCGCAGTACATCGTGGCTCTGGTCTTCGCCACCTACTTGCTCAAGCCCATCTTCCCCACCTGCCCGGTGCCCAACGAGGCTGCCAAGCTGGTGGCCTGTCTCTGTGTCCGTAAGTACCCGCAGATTCTCTCCAGGTGCCTGCTGTCTTGCTACCCCGTGCTCACCATCGCCTTCCCCAAAAAGTCTGCCCAAACAGCTTGAGCCCATCGCTTTCTAGGAGATGTACCATCTCTTCTGGGCTGCATGCTGGTTTTTGGGGGGCTCTTGTGAGCAGTGTGAATAGGAAATGTGACCCCATCTCAAAGAAATTGAGCAAAAATTTCCCCAAATGCCAGTTAACGAGCTAGCGAGCCTCTCTGATTCCTGGCAGTGCAGCGAGCGGCGTGTGAGAAATGCAACGTGCGTTTTGTCTGGTGCTGGCATGGGATTTCTCACGCCCTCCCGCAGGAGTGTGTTCGGGCAGGGTAAAATCCCTTTGCAGCCCTGCAGTGCTGCGATGGCTGGGATGGGTGTTCTGTGTAGATGGAGGTGAGGATAATGCGCGGTTGGGAAATTATCTGTCGGCAGGAACTGGTGCTGAACGTGGCCTGTGCTGCAGTCCCTGGCTGTTTTCAGCACCAGTTTTGAGATGAGATGTTTCTTGGCCATGTGTGCACTGATAACGTGCTCAAAAGCTGGGTTTTTTTTTTGCTGGCAAACTTATCTCATGAGACATTGCCTTGCAGAGAAGTTCAGTCATGCTGTGATGAATTCAGGGCTGCTGTTGCCTGCCATGGTGCACAGATCTCTCTCTCCTGCTGCAGTTTTTGTCATCTCTCTGGTGTTTTGAGGTCTTTGGTTTTGCCAGTGAAGCCCCATTTTCCATTCCTCTGGTGACTGCACAGTCACCCCATCCATTTTCTGGATTATCCATTTTACAGGGCCGTTTTCTGCCTTTCTCTGCTCATTTCCTAATCAATCTGTGTTCTGCTCCACTGGTAGTTCTCGTGCCACTGTAAAGATGTATATTGGGAGAGGATATAATTTTTTGTGAGGGCTTGATAAAGCATTTATTTGGTGTAGGAAGCTACAGGTGATCTTTTTATTTTTTAATTTTGAAGTTGTGAAGAGAAGTCTGCTTGTTCGTGCTGTCCAAAGGGAGATTGTGTTAGATTCCTTCACCCTCTGAGGATCGCAGGCATTCAAAAGTTGCAGCACATGGTCATTATGGGAAGATATATTGTCTGTAAATGTCTTCATACACAAACTGACTGAGTCTTTGGTAGATACATGATATGGCTAGCTAGTAGATACCGTAAGAGAAGTAACAGCAGGGCAGCAAATCGTGCTTTCTTTGGGCAAGATTGAAACTTACTTATTCTGCAGATAAATTTTTAGGAACCTACGGGTAAGTAGACTTTCCATCTGAGTTTTAACCAAGGTGGAGTTGCATCTATTAAGGAAATTCAGTCACCCAACTAGAAAGCTGTAGCAGGGTTAGCAAATAGTTCTGCTGATTGGTTTCTTTCCTCAAGTAGTGAGTTGTGAAAAATCTGGGTTTAGAGCTTTCCTGACAGTCTGCAATACGGTTTCTTCAGTGTCAGCGAGAAAAGGGACATGCATGCGCATGGCATGCACATTTTTGCTGAGAAGCTGACAGAATTAGAGCATGGATTAGGTGGACTTTCTTACTGGTTTATGTCGAAGTTTTGCTGTGCAAGAACGTACTGTAGTTGACAAAGCCTTTGAGAACATGTTTCTAATAAGAAGTAATTTTTCATCTGCAGGATCTTTCCCAAAATAGGTAGGCTGAGGTGTCCCTGTTCCCGTTTTATTGATCAGAAAACAAATATGGGGTAAAGTAGACTTGCCCGTGGCGAGAGCTGTTCAGAGACAGGGTGGATTGCAGCATGAAATTTCTTGGTGGCAGGTCTCATTCCCACTCGTGCTTCTCCAACAAGTAATGTGTCTCCAACTTCCTTTTGCTAGCAATTAGTAGTTTTCCTGAAGCAGAATTTGTTCTTGAACCTTTACTTTGAAATGCCAAGGGAAGAGTTGCAAGTTCTACAAATCCGCGTCATTTCCCTGTGTTCCTTCTTTAAACTTTACTCCCCCCTACACCGCTGGCTCTTATTTTGTTTATGCTTTGGGTTAAATTTTTGTTTCTCTCCTTTGCTACAGAAGGTTAGTTCATCACACATTGCCTTCAGCAAGCTAGTTTTCTGTAACTTTGATTTTTGGAGTTAGCCTTTCGACTGTCCGGTGCCAAAACCACATCATGAACTGAGAACAATAAATGAAGTAAATCTGGTCAAAGGACTTGGCGAGTCACACACAACTTCTATGGACTAACAAGCGGCTTTGTTACATGGTTTGTTCCAGACATACCCCTACCCAGTGAGATAGTGGTTTGTTTTGTTGTGTTTTTTTTTTTTCCAGGAGCCCTAGGGTAGGAAAAATGGCCTATTTGTGCACACGCTCTAGAGCATACGTTAACGAGTTATCTCAAAGAGGGGAAGAGCAGTTTAGGAAGCAATAGGGGAATTTGGGGCCCCGGGCTGGAATACAGTTGACTTATTATGTAGCCAAAGCCCAGCCGTCTAGAACAGTACCAGCTGTATTCTTTGCAAAGTGTGTATCTCAACACGAGATGCAATTGGCTGCATGATTTCTAGTAAGAGGAAAAATAACAAAAGTTACTTGTTTCCACTGTGAGTGTTACTGGTGTTGAACAGTTGAACAAATAATGTGCTGTTCGGTGTATTTCACCATGAAGTACAGAAATTGAATTCCTGGGAATTAAGAGAACATACGATAAATCACAGTCTTGAAAGAAAGAAAAAATAGTTGGGACCGGGAATTTTGTTTCCCCTTCAGGTGCTGAGGAAAACAAGGTGGGTGGTAAGTAGAATTTAACCACAAACAGGTGTTTTCTGCTATCAGGCAGTAACCTACAGAGAGTCGGTACGCAAGGCTACTTCTTCCGTAAGACAGCGTGAGTGCGTGATTACAGTTGCCAGATAACGGTGTGGGAATTCACTGCAGGGAAGTCTTCCTGTAGCCAGGTGGGTCAAGGTGTTCGTCGTTCATTGTGGCTTGTTTTATGTTTCCCACCAGGCAGCCGGTGCTCCTCAGCTGTAAGAACGTGCAGGTAGTTTGGCTTAATGCTCTTCAGGCTGCGGTTTACCTGGGTAACGCATAACCTGCGTGTTATTTTACCTCTAAGGCTGGATGGCTGATACTTTTAGTGCTGATAAATCATAAAAGTAAGCAGAGGGATAACGAACAGAAAGTCCACCTGTACCCAAGCATTTTTGAACAGAAAATGTTAATGAAACTGGGAATTTGTGCATACGTGTGAAAACCCAACAGTAATTTGAATTCCCCCAAATATGATCTCATCTAACCCAATTTTACCCCTTCTGTAGAGGCTGGAGGGACAGTTATTAGGTCTTGACTTTGCATACTCAATGACATCTACATCGCAGTACCAGTGTTGTACACAGCAAAGAACTGAGCTCCTAAGGATTCTGTACTCTGTGTGTCAGGTGCACGTTTGAGGCTCTCTAGATAAATGAAAATCCATTATATTTGTTGTTGGCTCCTCTTTTTTTTCTCTTGAGAAAGTGTCACGGTGAAACATACATTCACACTGCACAGCCAACAGGCTTGTATCTTTTTCTGCAGTTTTCTACAATTTATTTTGACTTTGAATTAAAAAAAAAAATACAGACTTTTTAACATGTAACTTTTCAATATTTAGGTAGCAAGTTTAGTTTTGAAAGAACTTGTTGTTTATATATGTGTGTGTATATATATATATATATATATGCAGGACCATCTTCACGTAGCAGGAGCACAATCATGTAAAACTGTTTAATTCTGTCTTTTTCTCCCATTGAAGAGGTGGTGTCCAGGTAGGGGCCGGAACAGTGATGTGGAACAGCATCCTGTTGAAAGCGCATCCCTGATGTCTTAGAGTGCAAGTGGGTGAGATTCTCTTTTACAGCTGGCTGCCACTCGTGTTAACATTTCTTAAATTGGAACTGATAAATCTTAACAAGAGTCATTTAAAAAAAAAAAATCACAGAGCACAACCTAATACACAGCGTCTGTTCTAGAGATGGCTCAAGGAGGGAAAGCTTCAAATTGCCCAGGTAACGGGAACGTGGATATTCCTTATTTCCAGCTGTTAATTTGCAGATTTCCTACATGTGAGAGCTCTTTGGGTTGTGGTGCAATAAATTCCCTGTAGATACGGGAGACCAGGGATAACGCTGCTTCCAGACCTGGGCTGGTTCTCACTTGGTGTTTAACAAATGCCTGAACTGTTCTTCCTACACCCATTCTTACACACAGCCTGCCACACCCCCCCCGTGTGCTCCATGGCAGGTTATTCTACAATTTACTTATTTCTTGACACTATAATCTGCTCTGCAGAAGCTTGAGAAACCCTGCCAGTTGCATATAATTTTACTCTTGATCTTCAATGTCAAATCAATGATGTGACTGTTAGCTTCTGAAGCTTTTTATTATCACTTGTTAATTATATATGCTAATCTGGCACTAATAACCCCAATATTGCTGCAGCAATATCTGCTGCTTCCAAAGCCCCAGTATTTTAATCTTCTTTAAAATTTCTTGAGACTTCCTTCGCTGCTTCTGAGCTATTATTTTGGGCACTCCTCCCACAAGCATGGAATTCCAGTAAAATGATCACATATTTCTCATTTGTCTCTTTTTGTTACGAACAGCCTAATAGCGGAAGAATTAGTAGCAGTCAGCGCAGAGTTGAGTCATTTCTGATGGTGCATGTCGTATGGAAGCGTAAGTGCCTGACACCCCCCTGAGTACACTGTGAGTTAGAGGAGGGGAATGGTATCAAATCCAGGGTTTGGCAGAAGTGTATAAACACGTGCCTTGAATGCTTGCCAAATTACAGCCGCGGTCTGTAAGTGAATTACTGAGTGGCAGCATTGCAATTAGAAATCGCAGGAAACGACTGAAAGCAGGAGTGTCTTTCTTTGGTATTAAGGTTTTACTTCAAATCTGTCAAGTTTGGCTGCTTGACCAGCTGTTTAAAGTGAAGCTATGGGTGGATTTTCAACTCATCAGGTATTAGATGGTCAG